TGAATTATTTTATTACAATTGTGCATTTAGTAGACTGAGTTTAATTTCTTTTTTTTTTCTTTGCTGCAGATTATCCTATTCTATTCTATTCTATTCTATTCAATTCTGAGTGACATCCTCTTTTTTCTCATCTTACTTTTACTTATGGAAAAATAAAGAAATATATGCAGTGGTTGTTGCATCTGTATGACCCAGTTGTTTTACACGTGCAAAGCAATTTCCTAATTCCAGCTGCTGCTTGACACTTGGGATGGTTCCCATAATGTCCAGAGTCAGCAGAGTCAGATTTTCAGGTTGTTGTTTTTAGAATGCTGCAAACCGCCCCTAAAACTAATAATTCAATTCATAGTTGAAAGCCTAAATGGGGCATCATTCTTTGCAGTTTTCTAATGTCAGGAGATGAAATATCTGTATCCTGGAGATGAAGGGGAAAAAGCAGATTTGTACGACTTTCTTTTGCTGTTAAATGTATACAGTACAGTAAAATATTCAATCTAACTATTTAATTATAGTAATCACAATAAGCGCAATCGACACATTTCTGTGGAGAGGTTTGGTTTTGACCTTGATACTGTACATACATTCTTAAAAATGAAAGAAACAAAAATACAAACCACAAAACCCATGTTATTTTGATGTGACATCCACAAGCCATGCAAAAAACGTGTTGCTGGAAGGAGAAAACCTTTTATTTATAGAATGTACAGTCGTGCTTAAAAAGATTACATACTCTTCCACTGAAGACAAAAAAAAATTAAACCACTCAAAAATATTGAAATCAACAAAGGTAATAATAAAAAAAGATGGAAATCCTGGAAGTGATTTTAAATATATGTGTATATGAACATAAATTAATAAATAAAACAAGTAAACAAACCTGATGGAATGCATGAACTAAAAGTTTGCTGAACAATACTTTAAGGCTATCACTGAAATCTGGTTTATTTCTGTAATGTTCAGGAAATGTTCAGTCAGACTGCACCTGTTGACAGATATGTTGGTTCACTTTTTATAAACAAGGCGCTTCGATTTATCTTGGACATTTTAATTTTTTGAATTATTTTTTTCAATAAAATTCAAAATCAATATTCTATTATACTGAATAATTATTGAGTACATTTTTACTTATTACTTTTTTTGGTTTTGTGTTATTTGAATAGAGTGAATTTTTAATTTTCTTAAAAGGGAGGGTATGGAAGATTTTAACATTAGAACTACTACGGAGGGGTCAATTGTCCTTTTT